TTATTATTGAAAATAATAAAAAATTAAACTTATAGAATTTCATTAATCTTTTTTGCATTTTATTATTCATGTAAAACTTTCAACATTATTTCAAAGTTACTTAAAATTGAGAAATTATTTCTTTGTAATTTTTTTGTACTTAAAAAGGATAATCTTTACAAATAATTTTAATTCGAATTATAATATAAGCTATTAGAAAGAAAGCAAAAATGCAGCTGGCAAAATTTAGGTCCACATTCTACTAAAAAACTAATTATTTTTGGTTTGTTTTAACCCTTTAGCGCTAACGGCTCACAAATGAGCCGTGCATAGTCCGTGCCACTACTGCTGTTGGCTCACATTTGGGCGTGCCATTGCTGCTAATGGATCGTTCGTGAGCCGCGCCGCTGGGTCTTATTCATTTATTCACTGCTAGTTTGCACCGCACATCGAGTGTCTGCGACAGTATCTCGTTATTCTGGAAGAAACTAATGCAAGTCTCAGTGGCCACTAGATGGCGTTTGAAGGCTTATGAAGTTTTTGCTATCTTTGTTCGGGGATGTCGCGTCGCCTTGAGCTTAGCGCGCCGCCGGGCCCGCAAAATACAAATCCTGCAGTCATATAAACAGAACCAAACTGTGTCAGCTTTCATCTGTATTTTAGACATTCACTTTGTGTATATTCATGTTACTTGCTGCACGTAGTTTTTCTGGTTTTCTGGATTATTTGATTTCTGGTGTTATTTTTGGTTCGATCTGAAGTTTTCGGTTCATAACGTTTTATAATATATTATATTTCATTATGGTGAACCCTGATACGTTTGTATTAGATATATTAATAACAGACTTATACGGTTTTTTGATCTTCAACCTTTCGCTGCTAACAGCGCTTATATGCGACCGAATTTTTCGTGCCCCGTGTGCTAACGTCGCCTTTAGGCTTCCGCCCGGATTCACTTCTGCTGTGCGTCGTGTACTTCTTGTCGAGACGAAGTCTTGTACTTCGCGTGGCTGTCTTTCGCCTTCTTCTGAATGGCTGAGAGCCTGAAGGTTCAGGACATGTGGCGATATCAGCTCGTTTTGTAAGGTTTTGAAGTTTAGTTTGAACCCTCCTAGAAGTGCGGAAGTGGAAATTCTTCTTGCTGCGAGTTGAAATGTTTGTAAACTGATAGACTGGCGTGCGGCAGTACTCGCCAATCATGGAGGGTTGGCGCACAGCTTCCCTAATTACCATAATAAAACTTTCTCTAGGATTTTGGGTATGCAGTAACACTCGCACTTTGTGTTACGATTTCTTGCTGCGATTTTGTTCTTGTTTATATGAATAACTATACGAATATCTATCATACTTCCCTTGCAAATGGAATCAAGCCCACATTCCCATACTGGAACCTAACCAAAAAACGCCCCGTCAAGTTGTCATCAATTGATCTTCTGCCCTCTTTAGGAAAACTGAAAAATCACCAGATCAATATTCCATCTCAGTTCAGTCTAAGCCATATCTCCGCACCAATTTGGTTTTCAACTACTACTTCCCACAAACCACCAAATAATAAGACTAACAGAGGATATAATCAAAGACTTCCACGAAAAGAAACATACAGTCGCAATATTTCACGATGTAGCTAAAGTTTTTGACACCGTCTGGAATCCAGGAATATTATACAAACTTATTCACATCGGAACCCTTCACTACCTAATTCATTTTATCAAAAGCTTCCTTGCAGATCACACGTTTTCAGTTCGCCTTCCTGAAGATCTTTCATCACCTTTCTCCATAAAAGCAGTACCACAAGTATCTGTTCTTTCCCACACTATTTAATCTTCATACCGCTGATATACCATCCAGCCCACACACCTACATTGCACTTTTTGCTGGTGATACCCCTATATATTCCTCAAACTGTGAGATTAACATTACACAAGAAGACCTGCAACATCACCTCGCCCGGTTCACTTACTGGGCCAAAAAATGGCACATCCAGATAAAGCCAGCAAAAAGCCAATTTTTCACGCTCCGCAAACCAAATAATCCTCCCCCTCTTAAGTATGAAGGAGAAAGTATAACTAGGCTCCCTAACAAGCCAGTCAAATATCTTTGTGAACTTTTTGATAGAAGGCTCACTTGGAAATCAAATACCGACCACCCATAGAACTCACCAATTACATAATATACACAAAAAGGCATCACCCCTGCGACATGTCGCTACGCACCTATAACAATCAATATCCATCCCACTTTATCCTATGCTTCTCATATCCGGGCCTCAGCCAGCAAATCAAATATTCAAAAAAGCAGATTTTCCATAATAAATTCCTCATAACAATTACAAAAGCACCCTGGTTTGTAACTAACTCCCTGTTACATAATGAACTACGTATGCTCTCATGGCTCAGTGGTGAAGTCGCTTACCTTCCGGGTTCGATTTCCGTAGAACATGTAAAATTTGTTACGACAAAATGAGTTTGCATACTTTACATGTCTTATAGCCACACTACGTTTTGCAATTGTTTCGTATATCTTGGAAGAGGAGAAGACATTTTACTGTCTTCGAGGAGAGCAGACGAAATAATGACTTGGAACAGATCAGACAAAATCTTCACTTCGAGCAAACGAGACTGCACAAAGACCTAATTTTCACGTCATTACTTCAACTTGGCCGGCAAGTTTTCGCCACCTGAATTCGTTGGCGAATGCCTGCCATACGTGATCACGCATAGCAGAGACTGACATTAACGAAGTCTGCCAATACTTTGCATCAGACCGCGCGCGATCGCGGCAGAATGGCCATCATTGCGCGTGCTTCGACGCCGACGCACAGTGGTTGATTTCCTCCATCTAGCTGTATTAAAATATTATCAAGAGAACGGTAAAGCCAACGCTGTTGAAAATAGAATTCTTTGTGCCATTTTCCATTATTCCATGTGAGAACGAAATATAATAATAAATTCATTTCCCTCGAGTCTTGATAAGGATTGCCAGGTTATCAATGTTGCCACCACAGAGAGAGATTTAAAGAAATGCCTTCTAGGATTCTCGTCATATCACAACAATGGAAGTTATCGCTTAAACAATTCAGTGGCAAGTGGGACATAATACTCAAGCGAGTCAAAGGCAGGACTTAGGCACGGCTGCGCGTGCGGCTCGGAAGAGCTCGCTGAACTGCATTCTTCTGAGAAATGAATGTTGCACTGCTATGGGAACTGGTACAGTCCTGGCAGCACTATTAGGAAGCAAGCCCAACGTAGGTTT